TTGGCCTTTATGGAAGAGTGGCAAGAAGAAAGCCATTGTTAACAGAAAACCATAAGAAGTCCTGTTTGCAGTTTGCCACAAGCCATGTGGGGGACACAGCAAACATGTGGAAGAAGGTGCTCTGGTCAGATGAGACCAAAATGGAACTTTTTGGCCAAAATGCAAAACGCTATGTGTGGCGAAAAACTAACACTGCACATCACTCTGAACACACCATCCCCACTGTCAAATATGGTGGTGGCAGCATCATGCTCTGGGGGTGCTTCTCTTCAGCAGGGACAGGGAAGCTGGTCAGAGTTGATGGGAAGATGGATGTAGCCAAATACAGGGCAATCCTGGAAGAAAACCTCTTGGAGTCTGCAAAAGACTTGAGACTGGGGCGGAGCTTCACCTTCCAGCAGGACAACGACCCTAAACATAAAGCCAGGGCAACAATGGAATGGTTTAAAACAAAACATATCCATGTGTTAGAATGGCCCAGTCAAAGTCCAGATCTAAATCCAATCAAGAATCTGTGGCAAGATCACAAGATCACTGTCCATCTAATCTGACTGAGCTGGAGCTGTTTTGCAAAGAAGAATGGGCAAGAATTTCAGTCTCTAGATGTGCAAAGCTGGTAGAGACATACCCTAAAACACTGGCAGCTGTAATTGCAGCAAAAGGTGGTTCTACAAAGTATTGACTCAGGAGGCTGAATAATTACGCACACCCCACTTTGCAGTTATTTATTTGTAGAAAATGTTTGGAATCATGTATGATTTTCATTCCACTTCTCACGTGTGCACCACTTTGTGTTGGTCTGTCATGTGGAATTCCAATAAAATTGATTCATGTTTGTGGCTGTAATGTGACAAAATGTGGAAAAGTTCAAGGGGGCCGAATACTTTTGCAAGCCAGTGTATATGGGACACTGTGGTGTGAATAAGGCACGGCGGGACCACAGATCTGCATTTTGAGCCATCTTTATTCATTCTACATGCATCACACCACAACAACACTCTCAACCCTGCTTCCCCGTGATTTACCACCGCGGGCGGGATCTGCAGATGCCATGCAGGTGCGTCCGAACGGCACCACAGACCACGCCCCACCACAGACACTTTAAAACTGAAGATCAATCCCATTACCCACCTTAGCATTGTTGCTGACCATGTCTGTCCCTTTATATCAACAGTGTTCTGATGGCTGCTTTCAGCAGGATAACACATGTAAAGCTCAAAACATTTAATAATAAAACAAATAGCCAGTTAGTTTCAAGATCTGAATCTAATAGAGCACCTTTGGTATGTGGTACTATGGCAGATTTGCATCATCAATGTACACCTGGCAAATTTGCAGGAACTGTGTAGAGGAATATTTCCACTAAACTGTTGAATCTACGAAGACTTAAATGAGGTCTGAAAGCAAAAGGGAATCCAATCGATACTAGCAAAATGTACCTAACAAAGTGGGTGGCAAGTGTATTTATACTGCATAGTAATCAGTCAAACTACATTGCAAAGTTAGACCTTTATTTCAAACAATACCTGAATGTTAACTTAACAATGTGTATTTAATTTATACAAAGCTTGATTAGCTGATTCAAAGCTGAAACAGAATGCTCTATTTGTTGTGATGCCAAGGAACACAAACAGCGCTGCAGTCATAACTCATCCTATGTGTCATTGTATTTTTGTCCTCTGTTTTAGGCTCAGCTGTGCAACATCAGTCAAATAAGCTTAAGCTGTTAAGCCAGTGAGTTAAAACTATGTTGGCACTTCGGGTGAACAAATAGAAGTTCACATAGCACCAGATTTAGCAGCTATTCTTCCAAGCTGTCTTCAGTTTAGTGATATGTTCTGTATGTTGGAGCATAATTCAAATGTTTGGCAACCTTTAAATATTGTATAAGCTAGTGATTCAATACAGTGAACTTTACATTCAATCACAGAATTTCATTCAATCTTTCTATAGTCACAAATACTTTTTATGAAACCAACCCTTGGTGTCAGATCAGCAACATTCTTTTATTGCTTTTTGCTTTATTGGATAACAGTCTTATCTATAGACTTGTGACTTAACTTAAACTTTCCCTCATGAACTTGAGATTTAAGACTTGCTCTGACAAACTTGGACTTTGTTGAAAAGATAACTCTGTTTCAGACATGAACAGGTCACAGCAATGTCACATCACTGCCACTGTCAGTGTCAGTGAGTCTCATTACACATGCAAGACTATCAGAAATGCACAGAAGGCTTCTCGGCACCTGGCAGCTGAGACTGACTCCAGCACCCCTGTGACACTAAGATTCATAAGGAGTTAAAGAGATGGATGGATGGCGTTCTAAACATGTTCTTCGGAGACCCAAGATGTAGATGTAAATGAACAGTAATTGAAAGGTAGAGGTAGTATTCCGTGATATGTTTTTGATAATTGAGTAGTTTATCATTGTAGCAGATTCTTAAGTGTGTTATTTAGACTTATAAATTATGTATTAAAAAAAGGATGAAGATCCCTCGGCGTCACTCATTTTTAGTTTTTTAAAACAGTAAGAGTGGAGAGCTGATGGGGGAGTGAGAAGCCAAGAACGTTGCACACTCATACAATAGGGAATGGTCAGTCGCCACAAGCATACCCTGCTTTATCATCTATTTTAGCATAAATGGGATTGTAATAAATGAGCAAAATAAATAAGACTTAAAACAAACACCTCAGACCCTAGAAAATCAGATAAGTGTTTAGAATTCAAATCAGCAGAAGGGCAGTTTTCTCACACACTTCTATAGAATTGGAATTTGCAACCGCCTACTTGCCATTTAAAAGAAGCCCTAATACCTAACCTGGACCCACAGCTAGAAAGAGGAAGTGTAGTGTAATTTTTGCATTCATTTCCCACAAAACTGAATGAAAAACAATAGTTTTTGAAATACAAAGAAACAGACAGGGTTGATTTAGTTCTGTTAGAGCTGCACAGGGCTCCCAGATTAATCACATCTTTTTAAAAAAAGGTGAAGTGAAACTTGTGTGCTCATTTTTAACCATCCGAACACTTCAGACGCTGCTCTTCCCGCAAGCTGCCGGGCAGACTAGCAGCTGCTTTGCATCTCTCTGCATCTCAGAGATGAAAAGTCACATATTTTCTCAGCACGCTGGCATGGCTAGACCACATTACAGCACACATTGAGGCATCCACAATTCCACACTCTATACTGCAACTTTTCCCCTCTGCTGAAAACACAGTGTGGGAGAAGACGTTTGATTCTTTGCAGCTCCACCTGACAAAGTTAAACCAGGCACTGTAAAGAAATTATATGCGCCAGATTTTAGGCATGGTTTAGGCTTTGAAGCCCATCTATGTGAAATATGAGAGGGAAATCTGTCAGCTAATATCTTTTTTCTCTCCTTTTTTTCAGAAAAACTGACTCTTACATGTCTAATTGTACTTGAAAACTGGATTTGGAGACAAACCTATACCGAAGTTTTGATCTTACACTCCTGTTGTAAAGGACAGAGTGTTCTGTAGTAGAAAATTGTTCTGGTGTGTGGACTTAACCACAGACTGTAAGTGGAGCTATTCATTTTAGAGGGGAAAAACAAGACTTCTAATTGAATACTATGTTATATTGTGGAATGTCATTCTGGCTTTTGGAAACACATGAAAAAAATCCTCCAAACAGTATGGATGGAAAAACTGCATAAAATCTTCTCACAAGGCAGTTAATGGTTTCCATCTCTTAATGCTGCGGTTAGTTTCCATTGCTTATTAATGCACAAGTCTGGATCACCATCCAAAATCCTCTCATTGCTGCCCTGGGGGAATGACTGCTCTAAACCCACACCTGCTCTGCATTGACCATCCTGGTAGCTTAATTAGCCCAAAATTAAGGGCAGAGTACTCTTATCTGAGGCCCAGACGCAGTCGAGGAACTGGGGAGGAAAAAGAAGGTCCTGTCTAGACACTTTCCCCCCCTTTCTCAAAAAGTACCTGAAAGTCAGACTCATGTTAGCCCAGCCCCCTTCTCTTCCTTTGAGAAGGATTGCAGAGTTGTTGGTTCAGTCTCAGGCTGGTTGTCATGTCTGACTAAGTCTGGACTCCAGCAGACTGAGCCGTGGCCAACAAAATCCTGGTTGCCCGAGCAGATCCAGCATTTTAATAGGCTGTCATTCCACCGATGGAATCTGCTGCACAGTTTTCACACATCCTAAGCCTCAAATGATGGCTTTGGATTTGTTCCTTTTCTCCAAAATGGAACAATATGCTCGCAGTGACATCTGCAGGATTCGCCATGATTATTTAACTTTAAACGCAAACCACTTGAGGTGATTAAATCGGATCATGCAGTGTGTATTTTGTTGATACCAGAACATGGAAAACGTGCAGTTATATCAAATCGCTTATTATCCCTCTAGCCAATGATAGGCCTGAGTTTTCAAAAGGCACACCTGCACGTTACCCCAACATGTACTTTGACTCTACATTTAAAGGATCTTTGAAGGCAGATAAAAAACGAAGGTAGAATGTTACATATGGTAAAACCAGTTTTAATGTGCAATGTTTTCTTTATGTTAGTAAAAAGGGTACATAAGGTAATTAACGTTATTTTCCTTGGCAAAAACTGAAGCTTCAGAGCTTTGGTTGTATTTTATAGCTTTTGCTTGAAATAAACAAGAAACGACTGTAGCCGCGTTGAATTTCTTTTATCTCCGTTTTTTAGATTTAAATTAATTTTTCATGCCATGTTTCGACAGTTAAAGCGCCCCTTTTCATTCATGGACGTTATCCTAATGCGTTTTGTTTTTTTTGTTTTTTTTGCGGACTCGTGTGTAAACACTTAGCAGTTATGACAAAGCTTCTGGTTGAGTTTGTCGCCAGAATGAGAACTTTTAGAAGTTTAAAAGTCGCGAGGCTAAATATGCGGTCGTCTAGGGCAGAGATGGCGCTCCCACTATTGGCTGGTTGTGGCTTCAAGTCGAGCAGTTGAGACTTACGCAGCCGAGCCATTGGTGCGTAATGGTGCACGACTGGACGGCAGATGTTTCACCACCGGGACAGTCTGTCTCTGCACACATTATCTGAACCCTTCTGAGTTTTTTTTCTTCTTAGCGTAGGCGTGTGCTAACTTGGTCTCCTTGCGATTTAAAAGTTACCTAAGAAGAAAGAGAGAAAGAGGAAGGGGGAAAAAAGTGGACAACCTCTTCAAACCGTCCCGGTTTTTACCGGGGAGTTGCCGTCATCAATACCACAGATGTCCCCCCCTTTGCTCCCTGAATGGATAGGGCAGTCTTGGTCTATGCAGCTCATTGCAGGCCAAAAGATTGGAAACAACTTGTGAGTATCCGTCAGTTTGGCGTCTAGAGGGAAACGCTCAGAAATGCCCGGCTGCTTCGCTGGAGCTCAACTCTGAGGACTTTTCTCCTGCATTTGTGCTTTTCCAGGAGGGAGAACTCTGCTCTCAGTTTGCAGCAAGAAGGAAAACTTAGCGCTGAAGTGGCAGCTCTCACATTATAGTCCTCGCTATGGATTGTATGTATTTATTGATGTGCTTTTCACTCAGTCAAGTATTTTTGGAGTGTATTTTCGCAGCAAAAGCGCATGGTGAGTTATCCATTCCGTTTCCCTTTATTTTTTACACATGTTTTTACGGTGCAGAGAGATGCACTGTAAAGTTTATAAAGTGGGGGGGAATAATGATAAGAATGAAGCCCTGCATCTATTGATGGGTCATACATTAAACCTGACAGCCTTGCTGTTCAATCAATGTAGGGTGTTGCTGTATTTCCACTGTGACTATCCACTGTCAGCTATATATAGTTGTTTCATAAAGACAGTATTAATGCTAAGATAATTCATTATGTCATAATAAATATTATTTGTCTATATTTTCTCTTTTTTACTCAATCGTGCATGTGTAGTTTCTGTTTCAACTGCTTAGTTGTCATTTCCTTTGGAGCTTGCTTTGCATAGGTCACTACTGTCATTCTCACTTGACACTGTCTGTCTCATCAGAAAAAATCTCTGGAAAGTTAAGTGAATATGGTCTTATCGTGCCATTCAGCACAGACTCCCATGGCCGGTACATTTCTCATGTGGTCTCAGCTGGAATTGGAAGTAAAGGTGCTGCTGCTCCTGTTGTTGATGCTGTCTCAGGCTTTGGCAGCAGAAGAAGGGTGGCCCGCAGTGCCTCTGAGATGCCCTCAGTCACCTCAGCGTCGGCTCAGCACTTATTTTTCAATGTTACTGTGTTTGGGAAAGAACTGCACCTCCGCTTGAGGGCCAACAGGAGGCTGGTAGCCCCAGGGGCTTTTGTGGAATGGCAAGAGGACTTTAAGGAAAAGGCCAAGGAACGAATCCAAGGAGACTGTGTTTTCAGTGGAGATGTGACTGACATGCCAGATGCTTCTGTGGCTATCAGCAATTGTGATGGACTGGTAAGTACCACTACTGCAGGCGTGAAACAGTAGTATGATGCTTTCACTTCTTTGACACTGTGTCAGCCAGAATATGCTTTGACATGTATTTTTTCATATCCAGAAAGTCTCCCGGGGCACTTGTTCCACATAACATCATCACATTAGATAAAAATGGTTACATCATCTGAAATCCTTTGATGATGTTAAAAGGCTGCTGTCATCTTGCCAGCATGGATACTTAATAACATGTTTGCATTGTATTAAAGAAATGTCAGCGTTATTTACAAAATGTCTCTCACAACATCTTTACAATGCTGCCCATCTGTATATATTTTCCAAAACATCCCACCCACTAGGCTCTGTGTGGGCTAGTTTGAATGCTGTTTTTTGTTGTTGTTATTAGACTCATTTTCCCGGCTAGATCAGACCAATTTGGAAAATTACAGAACAAACATCTCAAAAATTGATAAAGGATGAGCCTGATTGCATTTCTTTCTGCTGATGACCATCTGAGTGTTGATAACATAGACGTAACTTCATGTAGCAGGCTTTAGCCTAGCCTTTGAAAATGTCAAAATCAGTGAGCTTCAGGGATGTCTTCTTATTTTTGAATGTTGTTTTTATGCTGGGTTGACATGACAACATAACCTCTCATAAGCATAACATCAAAGGTCTGATAACTGAACAGCTGAACCAACCACAGGACATTATAATGATGCCTTGGTCAAACTTTTCCATAGTGTAGTGGAAAAAGTGTGAGTGTTTTAAACCTTTGGTAAGTTGGTAAAGTTGTTAGGCAGTTCTTAAGACTCGTATTGTATTTTTTATTTAGTGGTAGTGTAGTTTTAACATAATGTAATTACATTTTCTGTAAAATGGTTGAAAAAAAAGTTATAGTTAGTTGTTACACAGCACAGTTGGACTTTATGAGAGTAAGTGTACAGGAAGCTAGTTCAGTGGAAGCTGTAAAGACAAATTTGAATCAAGAGAGAACTAAAGAACAAGGGGTCTGTTTACTTCCTATTAAAGCCACTAATCCATCTAGCTATCCATTTTGTTAATATCCAGTACAGGTTCATGGGGTACTAGAGCTTCTCCCAGCTGTCCCTGGTACACCCTATTAACAGTCACTGTAGCACAAATGACTGTAATTAACTTGAAGAGTTGAGGTGATGCTCCATAGGTAGCAGTGAATGGATCTGTACAGCATACAACATTATTTACTCCTATTTACTCCTATTCTTGTTTTTGCACATGTAGCGGTGCCGTTGTTTTTATAGGTTAGGGTTCTTGCTCATAAAATGTTAGCATTCTACTAATGGTTTACCGCTTATTTACTGTGTAAAACAATGTAAAAATTGATTGATCTCCTTCCAGGATTGAACTGGGGATCTTTTCCCCATTGGTCTTATTGTGCCATTTGATCTGTAAATGACTACGCTGTAGAATCCAGATTAAAAATCGCCAGATTTTATTTTTCAACCAAGTAAAAGTGCATTTTCCCTTTAATATTCCAACATATACTGTATATTTTGTTAAATATACTTTAATCTAACTTTAATATTTGTGACTTAACATGCTTTTACTCATGCAGTATACTTTTATAGGGCATAGGACATGTGGGAAATCTCTTGTTTTATTTAATGCTTTGACTTAATTATAAACCAGCCACATGTGACAGTTTGAGATAATAAAGCTAATTTTTAACTTAGCAATTAAGTCTCCTGTGTTCCAATGACTCCTTTTAATATGTAGGCGTAGGAGCCAGGTGAGATGGTATAGGCCATCCAATTAGAATGAAAAAATTCAGCTTATATACTTGAAAGAATTACACTTACTAAAAACAGTCATAAATATTCAGAATGTCTCCTTCATCTCAGTCTTGTGCACACCTATTTCAGTGAAGTGTTGCCCAATATTACATATCTCCAAAGTGTATTAATGCCTCTTAGAGCTTGCGAGAACTACATTTAGGCGGTAATTCTCAGTGGGCATCCATGCTTTACATTGCTGTAGTTGTTTAGTTCATTAACAGTATGAAATTGTGGCTTAGCGTAGCTTTTGTGAGTGAGAGTTAATTAGCTGCAACTTATACAGGTAACAATTAATGGTGGCTTAATATTTGAAACATGCAGTTTGAATATTTTTGTACTTTGCTAATAAAAAAATTAGGGAGTATAAATTAAAAGTGTTTAAGTAAGGCTTGGTTGAGCTTTTTTGACCACTTTGCCAGATCCTAAAAGTCAGGTCCTAAAAGGAAACAGCTACTGGACCCCATCACCAAAAAAGTTGAACAATGAAACTGGTATAAAACATTCTTAAGTTTGGCTTAGTTCATAATGAAAGAGCACATTCTCAAGAGGCCTGTCTGTCTTCCGCAGCATTGTACTCCACCATTACCAATATTATGTGCCTCATTCTGCACTAACACAGTCTCTTGGTATCACCAATATAAAGCTGTGTTATACTGACAGAGCAGAGCGATGGGAGGTGAGACGCTAATGGATGTTTGCAGTTGGGAAAATTAGAGTGAATTTCCAAACAAGCATGTGACATTTGAAATGGCAGGCTGACCACATTGAGGCTACCTCTGACAAAAACAGCATGCGTGGAAGTAGAGTGAAGATAAAGTCACCTGGAAGCTTTTGAAATCCTTCACAGGAGACAGATGCATGTAATGTTTAATTTAGGATTCCTTTTGTAAATGACTACATATTGTGAAACACTGATTAAATAGTTCATCCAACCTTGAGTTGAAAGATCATTGAGGGGCAGTTCTCCTTTCAGTGATCATCTGTTAATTACAATAGCAAAGACGAAAAAAAGAGATGCATCAATTGAAAAAAAACAAAACAAACCCTTTGTATACTGATTCAAGTCTGCAGGTGACAGCAATTAACCCTGTTTTGACTCTAAGCCATATTTCAACTCTGCTTCCAGACTTGTTTGTCAAAACAGCTGAGCTTTTTGTCTCGCACAATTCGAAGAAACAATAGAGGGGTCCTAATGTATTTAACTGGTTGCCATCACTACGCCATCACGTATTTATTATTATTAACACTGGAAAATGTGCTGAAACTAAGAAAAAAGTAGATAGAAACACTTCTCTCTTCTTTTTGAATGTAATGATAGTGAGCGGTATACAGACAATGAAATGCAGTGTTCACATAGAAATCACAAGTTATTTCTGAAAGCCAACTGTGTACCCTTCAGTGGCAACAAGTGACACACTGGCCCTATGCAGAACACTGTCCTATTCACCTAGAAACATGGTAGAAATGTCTGATTTGTTATAAAGCACAGTATAAGAGAGAGCAATCCTGGTGGTTTTTTCTAGTTTAAACCATGTTTTCTTAGCTATTTTCTGATTTTGTGTTCTGAAAGCTTCTGTTGTGCTTTTTCAGTTACATTTTGTTCTACTAGCTTTCTTAAACTAACTCCATTCTGGTAGAAACTTTTTTGTTGTTTTCTGTTTTCCAAGTTCCTCTTTGTACCCTGGGTTTAAAACTAGTAGACACCAGCATATGGTTTATGTGGTTCATTTTGAAGCCTCCAGTTTGGCATTTGGGCTGTGTTCATCTTTGCTTTTGTAAGCCAGAAGTGATTAAATTCACTAACTTGTCACCTAAGGCTAGTCAACTGACTTGGTCCACAAGGTTAATGTGATACTATTGCTGTGTCTTAAATCTTACATTTAAAACTGCACTGGACGCTCCTTGGATGGTCTATTTATAATGACAAAACAAGTTAAGTGAGGAATGCACTGCATTTGTGAGCTTTAAAAGTCCCCATCTTGGTTACAGTATGTAGTAGAAAGAGAGGAACTACCAACCAGTTTTTAGCTAAAGTTGTTCTGCAGGCATTAGACCTGCTATATTTTGTTATACGGATATTAGGCCTCAGTCACAAAGGCCTAGAGACCTGGCAACTGAGTGAAATCAAGGTGAAAATGTGTATTTCCTGAGTGCTTTCTGGTGGTTGCTGTGAAATCAATCACTGAAACTGCATTCACATAGGCCTATGGATGCAAGAGCCCCCTGGTAACCACTGGTTACTAGATAAATGTGTGTATTTTGCAACTGGTTGGGGAATAGTTGATGGAGGTTGCTGGCAGTCACTAGGGTGAAACTAGTCGCAAAGAGATATGCTGTGCACCACCCAAAAATCTTATTTTCATTACTTTGCTCACTAACAGGTTGTTTTATTAGAGGTAGTTTTATTAGAAGATGCCAACTTGTCCGCAGACTCATGCAAGCTCCTCGCCAGGCAAGAGTGAAACTGTTAAAAATGCAATTTGAAAAGACCCTTTGCATTCAGAGTAAAAGTTGAATCTTTTGAAATGTGTTGAAAATGTGTTGATATTCTCCATTTCTGGTTTGTGTCACACTTATTGCATTTTACTTGAATTGTCAAAGGCGATCTATTATTTCTCTACAGGTCAGAGAGTAAATGGAGAGTCTTTTCAAATAAGTTGACATCCTCCATGCAAACTACAGGTAGCTATTTATGATTTATAACCATTTTTTTTTTTTGGTTTTGTTTTTTTCCAAATTTTTCCAAAGGCAGAAACTATATTAGAAACACCCTTCAAACATTTTACAAGTGTTGATGATGGACAGTTTGTCCACCAGAGGGCACTATACAACTTGGCTAAAAGTGTTTAGATCACCACAATAAGCTCATCTGAGCCAAGTAAGGTAGGAGGTAAATAAGTAACTTATGACAATATCTCGTAATATCTCATTTAGGTTTACTGGAAAAAAAACTACACATAACAAATGTTGGGGAAATCTATTTAAGTTTTTTTTTTTATGTCTGACAGAAAAAAATTGACTAATAGATTGGATATTTAAATCACCAAATATCAGTGTAAGTCTTAAAAATCTGCTAGCAATTGAAGCAATCACGAGGAGTCAGCAACCTCCTGTAACCGCTCACCAACTGGTCAGGAAATACACATTATTCCCTAGCAACTGGAGGTTGCCACAAAATAATAAAAGCAGATAAGAAAATTTTGT